CACACAGCAGCTCTCAGTGGGGAGGAGAGCAGAGGGATGGAGCCAGTTCAGAGAGGGGGGTGATTAGGAGGCCATGATGGGTCAAGACCAGGGGGGGTATTTGACCAGGACACTGGGGTAACACCCCTACTCTTCTCCAGAGACACCCCGGGATTGTTAATGAGCAAAGCGTTTGTTTTGTTTTTTTTTTAAAGAAAAATAATAGCGCTCAGAAAATTCCAGTGTTAAGACTCGGCGCATGAAACACCTGGTAACAAAACACACGCCACCGCCCAACGTGGGGCTCGAACCCACGACCCTGAGATTAAGAGTCTCATGCTCTACCGACTGAGCTAGCCGGGCTTGTTGCCGAGTTTCAGTGACTGTCTGGCGACCCGGAGTCTGGCGGCGCGCTCGGTAGATCACGGGTGGAATCCCGGGTGATCTATCACACGGGGCAGATTTTCCACGGCGGTTCCTGCGTGTCCGAGAGCCCCTGGCGCGTCGGTTTCGGACGCAGGAGGCTTTGAGGGGTCTGCTAAAAACGCGGGGAAAGGGGTGTCTTCATCCGCGTTGGGCTCGATTAGGTCGCGATAGCAACCTCGGACACCGTGGAGGTGTGAGACGCACGGGAATTAACTCGATCCGGTTCAGGTAGAGCAAAAGACCACGCCGCCCAACGTGGGGCTCGAACCCACGACCCTGAGATTAAGAGTCTCATGCTCTACCGACTGAGCTAGCCGGGCCGGTGCGGCCCTGTGGGCGACCAGCACTGCTGACGTCACCCTCGAGAGACGCGCGGAGGGTCTGTACAGTACCGTAGCGCGCTGTGTGGTTCGTAGCCCCTTCCCTGAAACTCCTTCACACACAGACTCCCAGCCTGCTTCTGCGGGACAGCCTCTCCTGAACCGCTTCCGGTCTTCACCCCCTCTGCTTCTGCTGTATTCAGAGCCCACCATAGACTCCTATAATAATAATAATGTCTTACACTTCTATAGCGCTTTTCTGGACACTCCACTCAAAGCGCTTTACAGGTCATGGGGATCCCCTGGATGATGAATCATGCTGTTGTCGTTCTGTGAAGCCTCCTTTGAAAGGCGCTGTATAGAATCAAGTGCTTGGTGACGTGGGGAGATGTGCCCACTCGGACAAGGCCGGAAACGCCGCGCCTTGAGCGTTTTAAACCCGGTTTCCGGGTCCTTTCGCCCCCAGAGACAGCCGTCGCGTTCGTCAGAGTTAGTCCCTGCTTCTCTAACTAACTCCTCGCCGACTTTCCCTCACGTTTCAGACAAACGCCATGATAAGAAAAGAATTCGGCGCCGCCCAACGTGGGGCTCGAACCCACGACCCTGAGATTAAGAGTCTCATGCTCTACCGACTGAGCTAGCCGGGCCGCTGCGGGGAGCGTCCTCACAGACGTCGGACAAGACTCGCAGGGCCCTCTGGTCCTGACAGCGGCGAGGGCCCGGCTCGTTTTAAAACCTTTCCTGGCCCGCTTTATGGATGCAGAGAGACAGCGATTCGGGTTTTTTTTTCCTGTGTCTCGCCGCTGGGCGGAAACACAGGCGCAAGGGCTCCCCCTGGCGGCCGCCGGGCCTCCCTGCAGCGCCGCTCTGGGCGGAAGGGGCTGGGCGAGACACACAGAGAGAGAGAGAGGAGGTTCCTTTCTTCTTGTGCGTGCGTGAGCGTGTGTGTGTGTCTCCTCTCTCTCTGACGCCCATGGCCGCCGCCGCCGCCGTCACCCTCCCCAGCCTGTGCCTGGCCGCCCTCACCCTCCTCAACTTCGTCTTCGTCTTCGGCACCGGCGCCGAGTTCGTGCGCTTCCTGTCCTTCCGGGCGATTTATCGCAACCTGACGGGCGACGCCCCGCTGTGTGTAGGTGGGTGGGTGTGTATGAACGTTTATCCTTCACGCCTGATCTGTCTGTGATGAAGAAACACTCGGGTGTCAGGGGGCTGCGTGCACCAGCCCGGCTAGCTCAGTCGGTAGAGCATGAGACTCTTAATCTCAGGGTCGTGGGTTCGAGCCCCACGTTGGGCGGCGGTGTTTACCTTTTCTGCTCTCGCTGTGCGCCCGTTTTACGAGAAATGCATGAGCTGTGATCGCAGCCTGCGCCAGGTCAGTGTGTGTGTGTGTGTGTGTGGGTGGTGCACACTTTCACAAAACGCTGCTTTTTAAAAAATAAAAAGTAATAATTTAGGGGGTGATATATCGCTCAGTTTTCCTGCCATCTGTTATAATTGGGAGTAACCACACCCCCTCCACCGGCTGGTTTTTTCATCCGATCCAATCAGGTCGCGCCTGGCCGCCCAGAAGCGTCCAATCAGAATGCCGAGCAGCGGTCACGCCGAGCGGGCGTCGACCAATCGGGGCCGGCGTTGCTACCGGGAACGAGCCAATCGCGGGCCGAGAAGCGGGCGGTCCGCAGGGCCCGTGACCCACGTGGGGGGGAGGGACAGCGCTGTCATTTCCTTATTGAGCTGAAAGAGGCGTTTTCTTCCAAATAATGTGTTTCTCGAGTGGTCGCATCGCCCGCAGGAGCTGAAAACGCTCCTTTACGAAGCGATTCGAAGGTGGTCCGCCATTATTCCGTGTTTTGAGATTTTATTCCGGTTAACCGATCAGTTATTCATAATGAATTGTCAAATAATATTATATACATACATAAAAAAAGACAGCTGCCGCAGGATCTATCCATCTGAAATCAATAAAAGTTCTCCTGGAGCTACTCGGATCTTTTGGAGGGAAGTGTTTTACTTGTTTTCTGCTTAACAGAGGCAGGCAGATGTTTCCCTGTGGTGTAAATACAGTCGGTGTGAAACCTAAATAATAAAAAAGGCTCTCTTCTCTTCCTGCTCTGCTGTTTATCTTCCACTGGTGTTTGTGTTTTGCGCGCAGCTCGGTGATCGTGTCACGACACGCTGCGTTCATTAAAAAAAACACGTCGCCTGATATTCACACCAGCCCGGCTAGCTCAGTCGGTAGAGCATGAGACTCTTAATCTCAGGGTCGTGGGTTCGAGCCCCACGTTGGGCGGTCTGCTTTTTAACTGAACGACTTAAAAAACGTTTTACACCATTTAAAGTCACTTGCATGAAGGATGTATCAAATAATTGGGAGTTAATATGCTGGAGTGTCCAGTCAGTGTGTCTGTGTGAACCCCTCTCTCTCAGTGCAGTGTTCATGTACTGGAGTGTCCAGTCAGTGTGTCTGTATGAACCCCTCTCTCTCTCAGTGCAGTGTTCATGTACT